GCCATCTTGTTGCTTCAGGGTGGGGGTCCCCACTGGGGTGCCTGGCCAGTCTGGGTGAGGGGCTGAGGGCTGTTTTCAGGCTGGTGGGCGACTGAAGCTCCAAACCTCTCCTTTTTTTCTTTTTTTTTTATTCTGGCATTTATTTACCTTCTATGCCTGTCACTGGAGCTGAGAGCCGGCTTTCTCTCTGAGGCTCGGCTGCTGAAAGCAGGTTTCTGGCCTTTGTTTACCTTCTGTATTCGAAACAATGTTGCGGTCTTGCTGGCTGAAGCCTGGCTGACTAAAGCCGGTTTCTGGGGTTTTGTTTAGCTTCTATATTTGTTACAATGTTTCAAACTGCAAGCTCAGCACTGAAGCAAGGACGCCTCCCTGTTAGCTTTAAGCTGCCTGGCTGCCGGCCACCATCTTGGCTGGCAGTTAATTTGCATATCTCACTGATTAGCCAATGGGAAGGGTAGCGGCCGTATGGCTAATTACCATGTTTCTCTTTTATTAGATAGGATATGGTCAACATATAGTAAAAATTATAGTACAGTAAAAATAATAAGGCACATATCAGAAATATAATCCACTTATAATTTTTCTAATTATTTTGTTCCAATTAGGACTAGTACTTAGGAATTTCAACAGCCAAAGGGCAGAAATAATTAGGACAGTATTAAATGTTAAAGCCACTTATACTTACTTTTATTTTTGACTACCATCTATAGCTGGGTTTATATATGCTGGACCTTTCTGAATTCCATATGAGATATAGGTTAAACAAATGCGACAAGATATTTGTCAGCAGGGTAGTTCAGTGCTCAATCCAATTTTGAATAACCTGCTTTCCTTTTGCATATTTTGAAGCTGAATTTTGCACACTGAATGCTTTTGACTCTAAGAAAGGGAACCAGCATAAGATCTTTTTCCTATTTTGTATCATGTAACATCAATCAAACTGGTGTATAACTTACAGGCTGTTATAGTATCCAGTGAAATATTACAAGTAAACTCTGATATTCACCTGTCATTTATAATGCTAACACTTACAAATGGCATACTCAAAGTTTTGTAGGAGACTAATCTGCAGCACAGTCCAATCATGGTATGCATTTGGAAAAAAACACCTTAAAAAAGACTTTACTAGTTTAGTTCAAAAAGTAATTTATTTCTGGGACAAATCCTAGGGAGTTAGGAAAGATTGCTTTGATATGTTTTAACTCTTGAAAGAGACAATCAGATATCTGAACAGACTGATGGCCGTTGGTGCCAATTCAACGCCATCCCCAACTTGGAGCAGTAAAGAAAAAACTTTATTCAGTGCAAAACAGCCCAATTGTGATACTATATTGCTGGAAAACAGCACAGCTGTGAGGCAGCCCTGGAGCTAGGCTCCTCTATAGCTAGAGAGAGCTCTGCTCCTCACTGGTCCGCTTTGCTTTGCTCTGTTCTGTGCCAGCCTGCTCTGGCCTGCACTGGTATGCTCTGCTCTGCTCCAGTGTGACAGCTTCAGTTTTTTTAACTCCATCTATAAAAATGCAGTATTTGGTGGAAAGGGAAAGAGATATCAGAGGCAGCTGGGAGTTTACTTATATAGACAGAAGTTCCTACCCCTGGTCCCTGATTGATTCATCCTCATGCAAATGAGGATTCCAAATCTTTGCAGTTTTATTGGTCCACAAGGCACTGTCCTGATTGGTCAGAGCCGAGCTGTTCTGATTGGTCAGTGAAGAAGCTGGGGTGGGGGAATAGTTGCACAACTCAGACTGGATGAGGAAAGCTTCAGTTCTACTAGTTGAAATAGGAATCCAGGAACTCCTCTAGAAGAGCAGGCTCAGATGGCAGAAACAGTGAAGGCTTCTCCCTAAAGTGCAGTTTGCATGAGAGACCCTTATGTAGAAATGGCTGCTAGGCTGTTTTTTTGTTTTTAATTTGAGCCCCATTAAGCCACCAGGAGCCCTCCTCAATAGGTATCTCCTTTCTCAGGGTCCACACATACTTTGCATTAGCAGAAAGACAAAACCTTTCCAAAAGAGGACTTTATTCAACAGTTATTGAAATATTGCTCTCATCATCATCTACACTATGTCACATCTCTTGCTGTCCCTCCTCCCTACTTCACTATGGCTGACTACCAGATCCTAATTTCTTTTTCTGCTCCTGTCTTCCATTAGGTCTTCTTTTTATCCAAAACATACTGACTTGAAATGAAAAGTTTTTGTGTAGCTTTCTCTTTGACTTTTAGTTTCAGCTGTTGTTCACTCAGGCCTGCTATGTAACCAGTACTTATTTAGAGTGACTGTGTTTTCCCTCCCTGATTAAAAGGAACTGAGTAACTGCCTCTGTGGTCACTGCTTGGTGAGGTTATTTTGAGCCATGAGGGCTGAGGGCAGGGTTAGGTTGGGGAAGTAGCTGAAATCAGTTTCATGTCTGAAGCTAATCTTGGTTTTGTTTTTTAAAAATTTTTAAAGTATATTTTTATTAATTTCAGAGAGGGAGAGGGATAGAAACATCAATGGTGAGAGAATCATTGGTTGGCTGCCTCCTGCACGCCCCCTACTGGGGATGGAGCCCACAACCCAGGCATGTGCCCTTGACCAGAATTGAACCTGGGACCCTTCAGTCCACAGGCCGATGCTCTATCCACTGAGCCAAACCAGCTAGGGCTAATTTTGGTTTTTAAGTGTCATATGCATTGCAATCTAATTCTCATTAAGAATAGAATTAATGGGTGTACCCGACATATCATCTAGTTGTTAATTATTAGAAACAACTCTGAAAAAACACATCACTGGCTTAGAAGGGACAGCATTTCTTTTTACTCTTCATTCCACATTTTAAAAATGACATTGTCTGCATTTTGAATTAAGGTCACCCTTTCTCCTTTGTAGCTCAAAAACAAACTAATATTTAGTTTGTAAATTTCAGGTACAATTGTAGTTCTGAAATCACCATGATATAAATCAAACAATTCTGCCAGATTAAGGGTAAAGAGGAGAGAAAAAACTATTAGAAAGAAGAAATACTTATTTGAAATAACAGATAACCGTGAGAAGTTATCAGCTGAGTTTTAAAACCACAGAACTTTGGATATAAGGAAGGAGTGTGCACATGGCTAATAGACAAGGTTAATGAAAGCTATTATCAATTCAGAGTAGCAAATTGACCACTTACTGAGCAAACTAAGTGGTCTACCAGAGCCATTTAATTTAATAAAGTTACTTGATTCCCCCTTTCATAAAGCATCCAGGAATCAGATGGGGAAAGATGGGCTAACAAAATCTTTGCAAAGGGTGTGCTGATAGCCAGGAAAGCTTTGCATGGTGAATGGAAGAGATAGCACAGAAGTGAATAATTGATTCTCATAATATTTAGATCTTGATCTGCTTCCAGCCAGTGGACTACGCAATAAGTTTTTGGTTCTTTTATAGTTTTCTTCTTGCATTCCTCTAGATTTCACATATCCTTAATTTGTTTTACAGATCACTGCTTTTCCTTTGGAATAAGCCAATGTGGCTAATGGAGACCAAAAGGTAATTAATAAATGTTACAATAGCTTGGTTTTAAGGTTTTGGTGCATAACTTCAAGACATTTTCATAGAACATTGTGTTTTCAAGGTACGGTTAAAATGAAACTTTCCATTAGGATAATGTAGAGGATGACATTTTTTCAGGAAAAAGTAAAAATCCTAAGCTTGCTTCTATCCGGCATCTTCCCTCAGGCACTGAGATTGCAGCCATCCAACAAATGGGGACAGGCAGAATGAGACTTCAAAAGTCACAAATATACAATATCTAATTTTTAGCAAGTCTGGCAATGAGATCTTTCCATTCTCCCCTCTTCTTTGTGATGTATATAGGAGTGAGTAGCTGCAATAGTGATTCTGGCTGTTGTCTAAAAAAGTTCTGACACAAGGCCTCAGTGTTACATATCACGTACATCCCACAGTCATAGCTGTTTTGTTGAGCAGGGGCTTTCTCTTCCACAAACACTAGTTTGTCTCCTTTTCTGCCTAAGAAAGCCTCCAATTTTTCTGCTACCTGCTTTGCATGAACTGAGTTGCTTCTGCTATGGGAGTCATAATGAAAAAAGCTATTTTTATCTTGGAGATAAACCAGCAAACTCCAATGGGTTCCCCCAGCTGCCTGGTTGGAATTATCATTGATGGCTAAAAATACAACTCTCTTGTTGGGGATGTCCAGGGGTTCAAGGAACATGGCAATCTCTGCTGGGTTGCTAGTGCACTTGATGAACTGGGTGACTTCAGGACTGATGAAGCAGACTTGGTCAGAGCAGTCATGAAACTCACTATTGGCAAAGTACTCAAAGGCAAACCCAATAATACGGTCATTGAGCCAGCTTGGAGGATCCAATAGTGAGACATCTGATTGCCGCAGTAGACTGTCCATGTAACTCAAGACTACAGGGTCCATCTTGTACTGACCAGGATTGCTCAGAAATTCTGGAAGCTGAAAGAGAGGCAGAAGACAATATTTAATGTTGAATATGACACCTGGCTGACAAATGGGGATGATAAATCATAGCTACTCTCACAGAGTTTTGGGCAAAATTAAATACAATTGTAAATTAACAATGCCTACCTAAAAGTAAACATTCAGGAAACTGCAGGATAAATGCTTTATGTTTATAATTAGGTGGAATGAAAACTTGGGAAATTTTCTATGCTGAAACAGTAAGCATGGATTTTTTTTAAAAAATATATTTTATTGATTTTTTACAGAGAGGAAGGGAGAGAGATAGAGAGTTAGAAACATCGATGAGAGAGAAACATCGATCAGCTGCCTCCTGCACATCTCCCACCGGGGATGTGCCCGCAACCCAGGTACATGCCCTTGACCGGAATCGAACCTGGGACCCTTCAGTCCGCAGGCCGACGCTCTATCCACTGAGCCAAACCGGCTTCGGCAAGCATGGATTTTTAATTTCCTTTATAAATATAGGGATTGGTTAAAGTTATAACTAGTGTTTTCCTAAACTCCATGGCATTAACCATATATTTGGCCCTTTAATGAATATGCATGATTACAATGGCAAATTATTTTTAAATTAAAGATGAATTTTCAAAGAATCTAAAAAATGTTACTAATTACCAAGGGAAATAGTTTCTATTTCCACTTTAATTTTCAAGAGATAAAACATTGCTTCCTCATTCCATAATGGAAAGTGACAGTGATTAGAGTTGTAGTTAATGATGATTTTTATTTTTTTAAATATATTTTATTGATTTTTTTTACAGAGAGGAAGGGAGAGGGATAGAGAGTTAGTAACATCGATCAGCTGCCTCCTGCACACACCCTACTGGGGATGTGCCTGCAACCAAGGTACATGCCCTTGACCGGAATCGAACCTGGGACCCTTGAGTCCGCAGGCTGATGCTCTATCCACTGAGTCAAACCGGTTAGGGCTAGAGTTGTAGTTAAAAGTTGTAGCTAACACTTTCTGTAATGTGAAGAACAGAAAATCATGAGCGTAATAGAAATGAAATTCATTTCTGACTCTGCCCAGCCAAGGGACAGAGAGGGAGAGAGGGAGAGAGAGAAAACATTAATTGGTTGCTGTCCGTATGTGCCCCACCTGGGGAATGAACCTGCAACCTAGGCACATGCCCTGAACCAGGAATGTAACCTGCAAGCTTTTTATTTATTTATATTTTTGGTGCACAGAACAACGCTCCAATTGAGGCACTCAGCCCAGGCCATTGGTTGATTCTTATATGAGCCCTGACCGGGTATCAAACCGGCATCCTTGGCATATGGACAACGCTCTAACTCTACCCGGCCAGGACTGGTCACACTATTAAAACAATAAAATTTTGTGGCATAATTATTTTCATGTAATCAAAATCCTGCAAAAACCTATATAAAAATAAACATACAGTAAATAAAGTAAATGAGGTAACTAAGAAAGACCAAAGAGGCTTTTATGTGCATGAGGTATGTCATAATATGAATTACTTCAGAAACAATACAGGGCTGTTTAAGTATGTGTCTGTCTGTCTATCTATCTATCTATCTATCTATCAAATGAGATGGCATGAACTAAGATTTTCTTAAGAAGAAAGAATAATTTGAGCAGAGACATAAATTGGAACTAGGAACAAAGTTAATGAGGCACAGAGCCCATTTGTTATGAGTGAGCCACAAATTTGGCTCTAATTATTTGGCAGCTAACCTAAGAGCATTAAGTTAAATATTCACAATCTCCATAAGGTAAAAACAAAGCATTTGCTCAGGAGAGGTAAAAGTTTTCTTTGCATTAAGGTCAGACAGTTTTCTCTCAAGAAATTTTAATGCCCCCCAATATCTTTATAATATATGAAATTGTTTCAAAGGATTGTTTCTTCTAATGATCTGTAATATTCAGCCTGATGGCAAAATGAGCTAACAGCAATTTACATGGACACTTGGTGCTCAGCTTGCTGCTGATCTGACTTAAGAGTATATGAATATGAAGAGGGAATGACGCATGTGTACCATGCAAGGCTCCCTTAATCACTCCCCTATACTGTCAATGAACACTACATAGTGGTGAGTGCCAGATTGTACTGCCTAGCAAACACCTGGAGACCTGCTCTCTATGCTGCCAGCTGAAATCAGACTCATTATTTTTTTAAAAATATTTTTATTGATTTTTTACAGAGAGGAAGGGAGAGGGATAAAGAGTTAGAAACATCGATGAGAGAGAAACATTGACCAGCTGCCTCCTGCACACCTCCTACTGGGGATGTGCCCGCAACCAAGGGATATCCCCTTGACAGGAATCGAACCTGGGACCCTTCAGTCCACAGGCCGACGCTCTATCCACAGAGCCAAACCGGTTTTGGCCAGACTCATTATTTTAACAGCCAACCCCTACTAGGGATAGAAGTCTACAAGGAGTAGAGTGCCTGGATATATAGGCATCTCACTTAGAAGGGAGTATCACAGGCAGAGCCAAGATTTTCTTCAGAAAATAGTTTTTGATTTGTCTGTTTGATTTTGAAAACGTCCAACACACAATGTATTAATCAAGGACTTAATTCTATTCCATACTGTATGACTGCAATAGCTTAACATCAACAATTGTAAAGCAAATGGGCTTAGCCGGTATGGCTCAGTAGTTGAGCTTTGACCTATGAATCAGGAGGTTGGGGTTTGATTCCCCTTCACATGCCTGGGTTGCAGGCTTGATCCCCAGTAGGGGGCGTGCAGGAGGCAGCCGATTATTTCTTCTCTGAAATAAATAAAAACATATTTTAAAAAATAAAGCAGGAACTGGAGGGCAGCTTTCTCTCGGAGGTACTTGCAGCAATTGCTGGGACACTGAGAAGCGGGGCCTCTGAAGGCAGGACTGAGAGCAGCCATAACTGCTCGCTCCGCCCGCCCTGTAGATCCCCTGGGACCTGCCCCGCCCAA